AGGCTCCTGGCTATTATCATAGTGCCAGGCATGATGCTGCCTGGGTGGGCACCGGTCTGCTTGGAGAGAGCCACAGAAAGGCAGGGGAGACAAGTCTGCTCCTGACTGAGGTTGAGCAAAAATAAGCTGTTTTGCATGTTATTCATCCTTGGTGGAAGAGGTGAGAGTCTTAAGCCAAGACAGAGCACACTGTGAACATCAGTTTTGCGGTGTGATGAGCTGCATGTCCTGAAGGGTTTGCCTGTCTCTCCTCTTGCTTTCTCATGTCACAGTAAATATACTAAGCTGAAAGTAAGGCTCTGGTGAAATGTCACTTTTTGCAGTTTGAAAACTATTTATTTTATAAAATACATTTGAATCCCACCAGTGTTTTGCATCTTACAGTAAAAATATATATACATATTTAGAACAAGTGTCTCAAACTTTAGATTTAAGCTTAGATACTAGGATTTTTGTTCTTTTATGTACTTTAAGCCCATGTATACTTACCTCTCTCTTCACTAATGCTTTTTCTGAAATGTTTTTATATAATAATATCATATCTATCTTGCATATATCTGTCCAGAATGGCATGTTTAAGAGTGATTAAACCAGATTAAAATTTGTGCTGCTCATTTATTTATATATATATATATATAATATATATATAAGGAGGGGTTTATACATATCAGAGTAACCCTACTTGTTAGCCTCCATATTGCCCATTTCTGCCTAGAAACTTAAATACATTCATACACTTTTAGAAAGCCCTGGGATCTGTCTTCAGTTTGGTGAAAACTGTTTATTGATTGGTTTGGGGCTTTCTTTTAATAAGACTCTTGCGAGTCTTTGCAGTAGGTCATGCATGTAACTTTTTGCCAGCTTTAGTATGTTTAGTATGGCTTTAGAATTGTCTAGTAAAAATGCATATAACTAGGAGAAAAAAAAATGTCTGTGCCACAGTAAATTTTCTCTTCCTCTTTACAAACAGCTGCTGAAATACAGAGAGTTCTGCATCAGCTTGGAACACCACAGGACACACATGAGTTGAGACAGCAGCTGTGAGTACTTTACATGAAAATCTTCATTGCATTGTAAACAATCTCCTGGTAGGTGATAGGCCTCTTTTTGTTGCTAAACAGAGTGCTTGATCTTGTTGAGAAAGGCAAGTATAAAGAAATTTTGCAAATTAAATGTTGAGGTGTCTTTTTGAAAATTAATCCTGGGTAGTCTTTGTACCTGCAGAATGATCAATATTTCTTCAGAATATATGCCGTATGTCGGCAAGGGGAAGGTGACAGGACCAGAAAGCAATGCCGCAGTTAAAAACAAATGAAGAAATAAAAACAAAGCAAAATAACCCCCCATTCCCACCCTGTCAAGTCTTCAAATCCATATGTATCAAGTTTCCCAGGGTAATGTTTGGGGGAGTCTGTGAGATGTGGTGCTGAGGCAGAAAGGGGAATGTCTTTGTAATGATGAAAGCTATGGCAAGAGGTAACGTTATAGTGTGAACGTATACCAGAAATGTTTAAAATAAAATAAATAAGGCTCAATGGCCAGTGCTATAGCTCAGACAGCAGAAGGGGATGTCACTAGCCAAGACGGTCAGCTGCTCTTCGCTTCACGGCACAGCCTATTGGACCCACGTTATTTATTTAGTTATTTTTAATCAGACTCCCTTACCACTTCAAACTCCACACCGTACATGCGCGGAAGGCATATGTGTTCTGCTGACTCTGTGGGTGAGAAAGCTGACAGTTTTTAGTGTGGCTATTGCTGGAGTGCAGTCCCCACATGGCAGAGGGAGATGTGTGTCAGATTCAAGGCATCCAGCTCATTTGGTGTGAACAACCAGATTGCCTTCCACTGGCCCGGGCTCAGAGCCCAGTGCACTGTTCACGTTCAGTGCCCAGGGGATGTCCCAAGGGAGGCTGTGAATGGGTGAAAAATGGCATACACCGTTTGTGCACTGGCTAGGCAGGATTTAGGCTTCAATTTACAACTAAGGGAGCTAGAAACTATTGGGACATATTCCACTCCCTTCAGGAGGGTAATACGTATGGTAAATTTCCTTGATTTTCATTGTCTGTTTTTGTTTGGCCCTTCCTTTCACACTAATATGTATCTGGTGCTGATTTTGACTGCTAATAACTTTCCAGATAAAACCTATTTATGCACATTGCAGAGGAGAGTGGGAAAGCAAGGGAGCAGTTTGAGTTACCCCAGGGGAGAAAAAAAAATATATATATATATATGAAGTTAAGGAGTGTGTGATAATGGAAGAAGCAGGAAGAACCAGGAATGGCAGTGCTCCTAAAGGCAAGGATGTTTTTAAAATACTGTTAACTTTATCAGTAAACAATTCACAGTTTTCAGTTACTGCAAATCGGAAACTATGTATCTCTTTGCATAAGCTTTCCAGTAGTTATCATGAATTATTTTTTATCATGGGCTGTGGTCCTGGAGATCCAAGCCCAGGGTGTTTTCTTCCTCACAGAAAAACTTGGTCTTTTCTACAGTTATTCCGAACTCTGTTTTATCAAAAATAAGCTGGCATTTCTCAACTTTTGAGATTGATAGCCTCAAAAAAGCAATGAAAAAGTATGTTTAGGTATTCAGAATAACTGAGATTCATTGCTTTTTTGAGGCTATCAAAAAGTATGTTTAGGTATTCAGAATAACTAGTTTACTCTTGTTTAATCTTCAAGTAAGCAATTCTTCTTGAATATTATAAAAATAATCTCTTTTAAAAAAGGGTGGGGGGAGGTCGGTGGGTGTTTGTGCTGTTCCATTAGGAACGTGCAGTCTTTGGTGTCGGTCTCCCCTAGTATGTGGAGCCACTGGCTCTTGTGCTGCCTTTACAGTGAAGAATGGAAGGAAGAAGGGGTCATGCTCCTTAGCGAAGCAATCGGTGCTACTACTGTTACACACGTCAGTGAAATTTAAACAAAATAGCCCAGCAGTCTCTAATAAAGCTCTGCATTTGGTTTTAGGCAGCAGAAGCAGCAGTACACGAACCAGCTTGCCAAAGAAACTGACAAATACATTAAAGAGTTTGGATCTTTGCCCGCTACAACCGAACAGGTATAAAACCACCAAAGACCACTGCTAGTTTGGCTGTAATGTTGACTCGTGGAGAGTATGTGAGTGGCTGCAGTTGTGTGTGCCTGTTTTTGTACTCCTCACCAGGCTTTCGGAGCTGTGTTTCGTTACTGAACGCGCTTACATGACAGACTGTTATAGTGCAAGTGTATTTTGTTGCAGTAGAGACTTGTTCCAGAGCTGTTTCTGTGTAAGAGAAAAGCAGCAGTCTGACTAAAACAGCAGGAGCTCAGGCAGCACCTTGTGCCTTTGGGTGCAGGGAGCTGAGCTCCTTGTAACCTGCCTCAGCGCTGCTAAGCCTGGCTGGCTCAGCGGGCACCCTGACTGCTCCCATGGCACGGAGCTACCTGCTTGCCTGGCCTGGCACCAGGCCTGCTCACACACCGACCGACTAATTTGTCCACTAATTCTCTTCTGCGTAACTCAGATCAGTGTAGACACAAGGTCTTATCCACAGGCTTTTCCCTTCTTGGAGGGCTAGCAGAGAGAAGTTGCTGCTAAAATTAACTTCTAGGGTCTTTAAGCTGATTGTTTCCCCAGTCTGCTGTGAAATCCGGATGGGAAGTACTAGGCAAAGTGGCTGTTGCCATTGGCACAGTCCTGGCTGCCATTCTGTGGTTTCTTATCCTAGCGCAATCTGTAGCTTAAATAAGGGAAGAGTAACAGGATACCAGAAGGTATGGAAGCAAGTTATTGCCACTCAAACAACTTGTCTGGCCTGTGGCTTCTTACCAAAGAGTCTTTAGGAAAATGAATTGTCCTGAAATACTAACTTCAGAAGGCAGTCCATGTGTCAAATAGTCAACTCCTGATGTTGTTGTTTAAACCTGGTCTTGGCATACAACCTCCAGCTCAGTCTAAATGTATTTTATGCTTTCTCTGTCGCTGGATCCTGGAGCTGAAAAGTTGATTGTGAGATGCTTCACTGTTGGATTTGATCAAACAGATTTCATTAAGGATACCTCTCAAGGCAAAACAAAAATAACAGACTGACAAATTGCAAAATATAGGCTTTCACAAATTTGGAAGGAAGGTTTGTTATAATATATATAGGAAATTAATGGAGCCACTCCTGAGTGCCCAGTATTCCTCTTGCCTTCCCTAGAACTTTCGCAAAATATAAAGCTAATGGGTTGTAACAGGTGTTTCTGGAACAGTTTTTAAGTGCATGAGAGGGAGTGTGAACCTACCGCTAAATGCATTTTACATATGCATTAATTTATGTTTCCAAAATATATTTTAAAATACATGTGGAGTATGTTTCTCCACCTCTCCATCCATTTGTTTTGCGTACTTTAGAATTCACAGTATCAAAATATTTCACGCTCAAGTGATGATTTCACACTCATTTAATAAGAAACAGCTAGTGAGGAAAGTAGAGGCTTCCCATAAATCAGCTTATAGAACATTGTTTGACCTGTTGCTGCTCATTGCTCATTTTCGTCAGTTTAATGAAACTAAATACATCAATTTTCTCATTAAGTTTCCTAAGTTATAACAGACTTATGTGATCCTCGAAGGAAGGAAGGTTTGTCTCTGCAGTTTCAAATGGTTTTGTAGACAGCCTTCCCTTATTATAATTTGAAATGAGGATATGACTTAGTCAGCACGGAGCAGCCTGAAAATGCAAAGCTTTGAAAATCCTGAGCTTATTTAACTTGGTAAACCTTTTTTTATCCTATAGCGTCAAAGAAAAATACAGAAAGATCGTCTTGTGGGGGAGTTCACTACAGCATTAACAAATTTCCAAAGACTCCAAAGGCAAGCTGCTGAGAAAGAAAAAGACTTCGTAGCCAGAGTCAGAGCCAGCTCAAGAGTATCGGTAAGTATCAGAAAGTGTGTTGTTGTAATACTGTTTCCAGTGCCATTGCTAATATTGGTGTCAAGCTCTTTTCATTGATGCTACTGAAAGGAGCTCATATCTGGCTTCAAGTACTGCAGAGCATGTGCAATCTGATTATAACTGTAGCAGTTTCTTTACTCATTTATGTGCATAGATTAACCATTTTTTGTTAAAGGCTTAATTACAATGTAATGCTGCTCTTTGTAAATGCTTACATTTTGCTAGCATATCAATTTTGCCTTTTGGCACTGTGCCATATACATGTTGCTATACTTGTACATTCTAAAAGGCAGTTACTAAGTTGAATATTTTTGCTTGTACTTCTCCTTGATGCATGCATAAAGCAAAATTAGGCTGAGAACATGTTAAATCGTGTTTCAGTTTGAAGTTAACCTAATTTTAACTTTGCATATATATTGATTTTTTTTTTCCTCCTTCTTCCTCAAACACTGATCATGAAGACAGCTACAAAGAAGGAACACTTGTCTCGTGGGACAGGTAAGTGGCATCTGAGCTTAACTCAGAATAGCAGATGGCCTTAAGGGAAACCAGCTGCTCGTTTTTCTGCTGAACTACCTTTTTCTGAAGGGAGCAGGGACAGGCTGTTCAGCTGAACCTCTTTCCATGGGGCAGGTGTGGGGAGGAGGCTTCTTGGTAGCATCAGTGGGAAGAAAAAGGAGCTGTTTGCATGTTCTCCTCCTTCTTTCCATACTCCACTGTGACTCATCTCCTTAAGCTGCCCCAAATGTATAGCTGGGCTTTGTGACACCTAAAGTAGGTAAGCACCGTCCAATTTGTAGATAGAATAAGACTGGTAAGCTTTGATAAAAGGATCTTTGCTTGTTCTCCTGTTCCTTCAAAGTGCCCAAGAGTTGCATCTCAGCCTCAGATTCCATTGGCATTGATATGTTACTTGTGTCTCAGATGGGTTTAATACTTGTGGTTTTTAATTCAGAAGAACTTTGCCTGTATGTTTATACATGGAATTTTCAAGCCAGCTACTTCAGGGCAGTGTGTAACACTGTTATGAAGCAGCAGTTTTTGGTATCAAAATCCTAGATAGCTTCTCTGATAGCAAAGGTAAAAATGTGCATTTTTTTTTTTAACTGATACAGAGTTTGCATCTTATGCTTTCTATTCTGGCTTATTTCTCATTGCAATTGCTTGATTATGGTGTTTTATTGTTTAATAGTCAACCCCAAGCACAAGTACAAGATGAGGAGATTACAGAAGATGACCTGCGCCTCATCGAGGAGAGAGAATCTTCCATTAGGCAGCTTGAGGTATGTGTGATTGTTACCCAGGGCTTTTAAACAGATCTAACCCTATGTTTCTAGTCTTCCCAAGGAAGAATTGATCCTGCTGGCATAAGTGTTAGTTATGCCAGAAAATCACCCTAATCCTAAAGGGGCTTTCTGTTTTTTGTTCTTATTGCTTAACCTACAAATATTGCTGTTACCTGGTACATGAAGTATGCACTAGAAATCTCATGTATGAAAGCTGTGTTTTGCTACTGCATTTAATTTCACTTACTCAGCTAAGAAATTCAAAAGTGCTGAAGTGTTTACAAGGGAAAACACATCTCATGATTTCTCAGAAACTTATCATGTTATGTAACTTTTTAAAAAGATAATTATAAATGAAGCAAAATCATTCCCTCCCTACCACATATTTCCAGATTTAGTTTGACGTTTGTTTTGTAAGAAGGTTTTTGTTTTATTTTATTTTATTTTTTTAGAAAACACTCCATCTGGAAACGGAGATGCTCTGTTTCATTTAACTTTTGTAATTAAGGCCTTGTCAAAAATGTAAAAGTGTTTAACATCAAGACATAAACTACACAAATAATTATATTCAATGTGATGAAATCCTGTTATAAGGACACTTTGGCTGAAAAAAAAATACGCTCTTACAAATCTCAAATTCATATCATTATCATGAACAAGAAAGATCTTGCCTCCTGATGCACGCAGCAAAATCTGTTCTGCTCTATATATGAGTTCTGTGCTATCCTCTCCCTGCCACCCATGTTATAGCATAAAGTAAACTAAGCAGATATCAGTCCTTGGTTAAGAAAGAGATCATATGCCCGATGGTAACGTGACATCTAGTATTTCATCAGAACCAGATGGTAATAGTGTAATATAATATCAGTGCAATAGCCTCGCTCCATATTACAGTGATCATCTCTAAACTCTGCTCATTATAAAGCGTGTGTGTTTAATTAAAGAGATGTACTAAAACTAATGCAAAACATTTTCTGTATATGCTTTTATTCACTTGGCAACAATTGAAAGCTTTTAAGCTCAATTGGCATGAGCCTACCCCTAAGCTGAACTAAGGGTATTTCAGAAGCTAGCACTAGCTAAATTTAAAATCAGTTCAGCTAAACTAAGTGTACTTGTGCAGTATGAGAGACTCTGTTTTGTGACAGGATGTTAGTTTTGTACACGTATTCATCTTCAGTCTATTTGATTATGATAAACTTAAGTTTTGCAAAAGTTAAGTACAAAAGTACAAAGTTAAGTGCAAAAAGTACAAAATTTTTCAAATATTATTAAAGGTTTTTTTCCTCTTATGATAAATAATCATGAATGTATATTCTGTAAAAGGTTATGCCAATTAATGTGATGATTCTTTTCCTTGCAGGCAGATATTATGGATATCAATGAAATTTTCAAAGATTTAGGAATGATGATTCATGAACAAGGTGATGTGATAGGTAAGTCCAACTTTAGATATTCTCTGTTGAGTTGTTAAAGCATGTATGCAGAAATGCTGTGATGGAGGGAAGGAAGAAAAACCACTCTCTTTCACCTCAATCCATGAGTTGTTTCATTTGGTATTTATTTGTTCTAAGTTGTTTTCAAATAATAAAATCCTATCTGTGTGGAAAGCAGCAATGTGGAACTTATTGGAAATTTCTCTGTAATAAGAGGGCCAACACAAAAACAAATCACATGCAAACTATTAATGGGCAACCTGGCTGTGTTGAATGGGGACAGAGTGAGTGAGGATAGGAAGAGTGAGTTTAAAATGTAGCTCAAAGTAGTATGTGTATAAAACATATTTAAAAGTAGTTTTTGAGTAGTTGTTAAGTAGTATTTTTGTGGAGTTTAAAGGAAGAACGCATTGGGTGAAGCAGTAGAGCAAAGGAATGACACAGCCTAAAGCTTCCGTTTTGTATATAAAGGATCCCTGAAAAATGCAATGTGAATGGGTGGTACATTTTGTTTTGTTCCCACCTTAAACGTGGTGGAAAGCATTAAAAAAGGAAAAAAAATGAATTGGGAAATGTCACTTTTATTAGGAGAGAAAAGAAGGAAAACAAACAAAAAACATGTAGGAAACTTTACTGTTTTGGCTAATGGTATATGTATGCAGAGCCAGATAAGGTTCCTTTTCTACCCTCCAAACAGACAAGCTTATTCTTTTCATGAAATATGATTGAAGCATCAAAAGTTCCACAGGAATTTAAGGAAAAATTTCTTGACAGTGAGGGTGACAGAGCACTGGAACAGGCTGCCCAGAGAGGCTGTGGAGTCTCCTTCTCTGGAGATCTTCCAAACCCGCCTGGATGCCACCCTGTGCCACGTGCTCTAGGTGACCCTGTGTGTGCAGGGGGGTTGGACTAGATGATCTCTAGAGGTCCCTTCCAACCTTGAGCATTCTATGATTCTATGATCACAAACTATGTTTTCTGAGTCTGCTGCTAAGCCACACTGTTGTCCAGCGCACTTGAACTAATATGATCAAGATCGCATCGGATTTTTCCAGGAGAAAGATCTGTGCCACTAGGATTAAATAGCAAGCTGTATTCATGGCTCTTGCAGTCTTTCATTTGTCTGTTTCCCCTGGGTTCTTGGCCTCGGGCATTTTCTCTAAGCAGAGGTAGCCAGCAGCAAGTCAGAGGACCAGAAAGTTTCTACCCCAGTCCATTTCTGAGGCTCAGTCCTGCTTCTAGAACAGGGGAGCTCTTACTGACATATGAAGTCAGGCACTTAATCTTTGATTGAATCAGAAGTTAACTTAAGCCTGTGCAAAATGTTTAGTACAGGAAAGGTCAAACTTCCATAATGTACCATATAATGCACTCATAGAGTTGATAAAAATAGCAAATTGACAGAGGGGAAAGGACGTGGGAGGCTACTGTTACAGATGATCTCAAGTGAATTTCAGCATCTCAATCCTTTGATTGGGTTATAACTAATGAGAATTTGAAATTTTTCTTTTTATAATAAAGACAGCATAGAAGCCAATGTGGAAAATGCAGATGTACATGTCCAACAGGCAAACCAGCAGCTGGCAAGAGCGGCGAACTATCAGGTAATGTCAATGCCAACTGTCAGTTGTTTGTAACTGTCCTTTTTCAGTAGTTCTGGCTCCCACTTACCTTTGCAGTTTGGATTTTGCATAGCATTTTCCAAAGGCTTGGAGAATCAAATCAAAGTTTATGATTAGAATAGGACAGTATTTCTAGATCTCTGTGAAACAAAAGTCAGTGACCCCCATAAGCCTTGGGTCTGCTATAAAGTGAACTAGGTCGTTTCAGAGCACTAGGAGTTTTACTCTTAGTTTAAAAAAAAAAAAAACACACAAAACAAAACCCAAAACCTTCTCTGCAGTTGAAGAAGGAAAAAATTGAGTGTATGTGGAGAAAGAGCCTCTAAAGATCATATTGGAGGACTGGAGAATGTAGGCTCAGAAGCTTTCTGAAGATTTTGCCACGTAGCATCATTTTTTTGCTGTGCATATATAAGCAAAATCTTCTTAAAGTTATGTAACTTCTGCTTCTGTTGATTGCTACATTGTTCCTAGAACACATTTTAATCTCTCAAACTGTTTGGAAAGTCTTTTAAAGACCTTTTAATGCTTTTTTTTTTTTTTTCTTCTGGCACTGACTGATTAAAAATAATCTTATTAGTAATAAATCCTCCTTCTTTAGTTAAAGTTAGTTTTCCAATTTTTAAATCTTCTTATGTGTTCTAGTAGTAGCCAGGCCAGTAAATCAATGACAAACATTTGAAGGATTGCCTGCTCATCTCAGAAGAAGTCGGGAGAGAGAAGAGGTGGAGGCATCCTCAAATTGCTTTCCAGATGGTATTAATTGGCATAACCCATTATGAAATATGAATGATAGCTCCTATTTTGTTACTGACAAGTTTCATAAGAACAGAAAGAACAGCAAAAAATTTCCATGCAACATATTACTTTTTGAGTTGTAATTTAAAATAGAGTAGTACAAAAAGCCTTTCGTCTTGGGGAGAAAAGGATACGGGTGTGTGCTTGGATGGGGTCTGCACCAGCAGTTTGCCACATGGAGCATGTTTAGAGAGCTCAGAGGGCAAAGGCACGCTCTTCTCCTCTCTGTCCTTTGCATTTTACTGCTTTTGCTTTAGGGATCATAGGAATGACAGTCAAGCATAGGAGAAAATAGCAGCCCAGTCCTGGGTAGCGTTACAGGGATAGTGTTTGACTGCAGCACGGTGTTGGTAAGAGGTGGTCTTCAGCATGAAAAAGGAACTTGCTGAGAGTATAAGACATAAAAGGAGAGAATCTGGTAACAAATAAGACATGAAAGAGGCTCTGTCAAAGACTTCTAGCAAGTAAAATGATGAAACAGCCAAGGGAAGAGCTGACAGTGGGAAGAGGGAAGTGACAGTGAAGCTTACCAAATCTAGGAGAAAGCTGAAACAAGAAGCCTAATAGTCTGGGTGGTAGCGGGGTGGAGAACAGTCTGTTCCACAGAAGAACAGAGACAGATGTAGTTCTGCAGGAAAAACAAACAAACAGGCCATCTGTCCTGAAAAAAAAATAGCCAGAAGAACATCTGCCAAATAGAGCAAAGTCTGGCTTTCTTCTGGAGCTGTGGGCCAAAATCCCAAGATTTGAGTGTTAGAATCCCCTTGATATCAGCAAAAGCCTGTGGAACCCACTGGTAAAATGTATTATTCCCTTTCCTGCTGCCTCAGATGAAAAATGGCAACCTGTGCCTCACCCTTGTTGTTCTGGTATCTCAAGGGATAGACCTGTGTGGGAGATCTAGAAGTTCTGGATGTGCTCATGACTTGTAGAGTATTGTAGTGACATCAGTGTAACTGAGTATCTGTTCAGGTCTGCCTTTTTTTTAATAACACTACTAGTGAACTCAGAGTCAGTCTTCCAGAGGTCTAGATGGGCAATCCTTTGTCCCCTTCTGCATGCATATTTATAGTCTTTAGATTATTTTTTTTCCAGAAGACAATTCCTGCTTCCTTTACTATACAAACTGCATGTCCATTTACCCCTATATATGTCCACATGCTTTTACATGTTTTCTTCCCCCAGTATTCTAATTATTTTTATTCATTGTCAAGACTCCTGCATTCTCTTTTGTTAGTTTATTATGTATACCAAAAAGCACCAATTAAATTGTTTTGATGAGTATTATAGCCTTAAACTTAATTCATGAATGAATTACTCTTCTCTCAAACAACTTTATATGACTCATCATTGTTTGTAAGGATGCCTTTTATTTGCAGTATGCAAGCAATAGGACCATAAAAACATTTAACTGGTCTTCTGATATTATAGCACTACTTTCAATCAACTTTTTTTTTTTTCTCTTTTGGCAGCAAAAGTCACGAAAGAAAATGTGCATCCTCATTTTTATACTTGCTATTGGAGTGTTGATTATTGGAATTATCATATGGGCGACAACAAGATAAGTCTTTATGGAGAGCATTGTGATTGATATTTAAATTACGAGAGGAAATTTCTACAGTCATGATTTTCATTGTGGAGCTGAGTAAAATAATGGTTCTGTACTTCATCACTTTTTTTTAATGAGACCTTGTTTGAACCTGAGAAGTAGCATTCTCAGTGTTCCAGTTGGTATAACTGCCTGCCTTCCTGGATGTGAGTGCTCCTTATCAGTGAAATCAGTCTACATTATAAACTGCTCTGTTTAAACCATAAGAGGTTTTTATATTTTGGGGGCTAATCAAAAATGCTGATAACTTGTTTTGAAAGAGGGGGCAGTTATCTTTGGGGAGGTATTGCTAAATATTGCTCCAAAACAAACTCCGGAATTGTTGCTTGGGGCAACAAATTCTTATCTTGGACTTTATTTTTAAGCTAGTAATGTCTTTCTATCTCGTTCCCTTCTGGCCCACCCACTTGTCCATTTGTTATGGGTGGTTCAAAAATAAAATGTAGGTTGCTGAAGCTGGTGTGATTTGTCTCTTTTGAAACTGAAGCTTTCAGAGTAAGCCTTCAGTTCGCTTAAAACCTTTCAGATGCTTCATCTGCCTCTCTACGTGGCGTTAAGTGCCATTAGGTCTGGAAGCCTCCTGCAAAGGTACGTAGGGGTGGATGGTGTCACTTGTGAGCGTGGATTTCTTGTTTTAGTTCTTGCATTAATAAATACTGTGTTTAATGTGTCCACACCCGATACCTTCACATCTGAAGCGTGCATCAATGAACTTGACTAGATGAAAATACTTTCTAGCCTGTGAATTGTCTGATTTACTGGGAAGAATAGAAATTCCCAACTTCCTAACTACACTTGAATGTCACTGTTCTGGAATTGCTGTGTTCCAGTTTCTGTGAACAGATCTGAAGTTGTATGTAAGATGTTTATACACCTGGCGAAAAGAAGATTTTAAGTTAAATTCCAAGTTCAACAGTGGTATATGAAAATAAATTTTTAATCAGTTGAACTGATTTAAATTGCTCACGAAGTTTGATAATGCTTATAGACTTTCAAATGACCTTTTTCCTTCTTGTGCCATTTTTTTACTAATATATTAGAAATGTAACTGAACACTTCTTTTGCCAATTAATCTATTTGCCTTTTTAATTAATGTTGGTGCACTAATCTGAAGAGTGTACAGGTGAAAAAGGCACTTAATCTGTATTTTATAAAGTTCTTGTACACTAGGTTGATAGAGAACGCACTGTCTATGTGGTGAGCTATGAATTTTTATTTGGGAACAATTTAACTGTAAGCATAAATGGACTTCAGAATTGTAACTGCAACCAAAATAAAGGTCTTTTAAAGAGCACATTTTTCTAACAGTTCATTTTTTTTTCGGATTCTACCTTTACAAGCACATCTGCTACCTTTACTTTTATGTAAATGGCTGAAACTTTTCTGAACAACTTCAGGTAGGACCAGATCTGCTGTCTCATGAGCTCACGAAGATCTCGGCGCCTGGGCTACCCTTCATGTTGCTAATGAAAACTCTCGTGGATCTTGCATTCCCACCATGGGAGGAAAGGCTGCTTTATAGCTGCTGGCAGGTGGTGTTGAGGACGGACACTGTCTCTTCCTTACCCTTCGTCATCTCATGAAGTTTCAGTGGGATAGGGATTTCCAGTGTGGGAACGGGGCTTACGTTGCCACATTTGGATTCCAAAAGCAGTGGAGGAAAAACCTTTCATTTAAAACTGCATGACTATGGTCTCTGTAACACGGAGAACACCTCAAGATTTAAAGGGGAATTTAATTTTTATATAACTTCCAAAGTGGGTGCTGGAGTATGGAGATCTCAGCTACTGTGTTCATGTGGCTGCCTTTATGTTGAAAGCGATGCTGAGAATCTGCTTGACCTTTGCCAAATCACCATCAGATATCTGAGAGCCTTTGGGTGCTACCAGCCAGGATATAAACTCCTAACGCAAATGCACTTTTCAGTTCAGATCAGCCTTCTAGTAGGCAAAACTAGAAGAGCACTTAGGCCCAGTAGCTTTCTTTATGCGAGCAAATCATCTGAAACTGATTTTGTAATACATTACATCCTAGTAACTTCCCCAGGTTTTACTCTATTGCACATAGCCACAAAAAAAAAAAAAAAAAAAAAATAGCCTGATCCACCTTTCCCAGGAGGTCCTTTTCTCTTCTGAGGTATCTGCTTTTATCAGCAATTGTTTGGTTTCCCTGATGTGCTTAGTGGGGAACCGCACCACTTCAGCAATGAATCTTCAGCTCTGACCCCTGGCAGGGTAGGTTTTTTGTGCTTGATACTTGTCATATCTTGTATGCATTGCAGGTTGTCTTTGTTTTTCTACTAGGAGGTATTTCCTACCAACAGTCTTATGGCATTGAAAGTTATATTCAATCTGGGGTAGAAATGGTCTTTTTTATGATTGTCCATTGACCTTAGCTTAGCCAGTGATGACAGCAAAGCAGAATAGCCAGGACATGAAGCTTCTTTATCAGGAGCTAGTCGGAGTCCAATCATGGCAACAATTTTCAGTGACCCCGTTCTGAGTTGCACAGCATCACATTTCCCACACACACGCGTCAGCCTGCTGCCCCTGCTTGTTCCCTGCCTCTATTTCTGACTTCTCTGAATGTCTTTTATTCGCCAGGTGCACATGGCTCTTTCAGCAAACTGTGTGTGTTCTTCATGCAAGTGTCTCCTGTCCTTGGGGCTTGGCCGCTGTCAGGGAGCAGCCAGTGCTGATATGACCTGCCTGCAAGGCCCTAGTTGCTAATTAAGAACATTGATACTATTAGTTTTCCAACGTGATTAGGAGAAGGAAAGGGGTGGGAGGAGTTTCTTTTTGGCCATGTTGGAGGGCATAAATACTACTTTTTCTGCTGCTCTTAGTGGGACTCTTGTTTTCCTTCTTCCTCCTCTACATACGTACACTGTTAGCCATATAAAATGCAACCTCCTAATATTTAAAGAAAGCTTTGATATCTATTAAGAATCTAATAAAACATCTGGATATAGTGTGTATGAGTTAGTGTTTTTAGAACAAAGATTTCTTTTGGCTGTTCCAAATTATCTTTCAACATCTGTCAGATTAACAAGGCTAAAAAATGCAATCAAAGCACCCCTCATTTTACTGAAGAAACCTGGTAAGAATAGATGCTTTGTAGTTATCTTAACCACACATCAGGGTGCTTTTCTGTTCTTTTGTGCTTTTTGAAAGAGCTGAAAATCACAAAGACAGACAGCTTTTTAAAGGGTTTTTTTTCTTTCTTTTTTTTTTCTTTCTTTTTTTTTTTTTTTTTCCTGCACCTCCTCCTTGGAAATGTTTCGTGATAATCAGCAACTTACACAATATCTCCAAAACAATTTCTTATCCAGGAGCCTTCATAAATCACACCCCTCACTGTGTGCGTAAAGGCAACAACTGTAATGGATGCCAGAGGAAGGAGTTGGATTTCGGCTATCAAAAGTAGTTTGAAACCATGCAACAATTTTTAAACCTGACAAGTAAGTGATCAAATGGTGGGGGGAAGGGACAAAATGACAGAATCTGTTAGGAAAGACTGAAAGATCAAATAGCCTTGTTGTTAATCCCAGTTTGGGCTGCTTCAAGGACTGTTCGCCTTGTGTTGCTGGGTGTCATATTTGGAACAGCAGACTTACTTTGCTTTTGTTTAGGTCTGTTTGAACCTAGTTGAGGCTTTCAGGAGCAGGAGGTTAGTGAGAGGATAGAGCAATGCTGCTGCATATCAGCTTCTGATGACTTTCTGTTTCCTATGATACCCGCAGCGCTAAGTGGTGCTGAAGTGCGTAATGTGCCACTTTCAGTTTGCAATTAAGTCCAAATATCTCTCACCAAAGCTGTTGGGGGACAAAGAATAATTATTCTGTGATGAGGTGCCTGCCCGCAGAGCCATTCCAGATGCTTTTGCAGCCTAGAGTTTTGAAAATAAGTATTAGAAACTGATAAGCTTTCACACATCTTTGTCCTTGTGTAGTCTCCAGCGGTGCCTCCAAAGCTGCAGTCTGGAGCTTAAGGATACAGATAGGGATCCTTAGGTATTAAGGTAAGGCATTTATTTAGTTCTCTGTGCGTCCTGAGTGTTGTGGCATTCAGTGGTAAAGGAAGCCCACTGTTTGCACAACAGTAAGGAGCTCTCCAGAAGTAACCAGAAAAAGTGGTTGTTCTGGTGGTGAGTGTTCATCTCCAGAAAACAGACCATATTCCCTCAAGTAGATCATCATGAGAGTGCCAAATCATGTTGTAGTCTGCTATTTATACAATTGATCATGTGCTTTCCTTCTTGATTGTTTTGAATATTTAACCTTGATCGCAGCTGCCGTGATTCTTTTTGCTCATATTGCAAATGTAAAAAACATACTGGAGATAAGGAAACACATCAACCTTGTTTCAGTTCGGCTTTGCAAGAATATTTTGGAAAAGGAGCATGCATACTCTTCTATAATAAAGTCTCTGTCTGCAAACATAGTGCTTTACATGTTTCTGCTTTGTTGATAAAATAGATTTTGCTGAATCAAGAAAAAAAAATCAAAGACTTGTTAGCATAGGAAAGTGAATCAGATCACAGCTTTGTTAATGGTGCATATTTTAAAATGTGTCTTGCAAAAAGTAAAAAAAAATAGATTCAAAGGCTTGTTAGCACTAGAAAGTGAATCAGATCACAGCTTTGTTTTTGTTAATATTGCATACTTTAAAAAAGTAAAAAAAAAATGCCAACAGCAGTTTCCTTCCCCTGCTCCTTCAGTTACTTAAGATTCATTTTGGAATGATTTTTGATCATGCTTTAACTTTTTTTTAACATTTAGGCAGAAGATGTTTGATCCTTGGCAATGCACATAGAAGTCTGAAGACTCCCATGGTAGTCATGATGTGTGGGAAGGAGGCAGCAAAATGAATAATTTGGAATGTATAATGTTAATATACCTTTTTGCCTTTACATAAAAGGGAAAATCTGCTGTAGCTCTCACTGTAATTCCTAAGCCTGTGGCCTGTGAG